ATTAAAAAAAAAAAAAAAAAAAAAAAAAAAAACAAATACTAGCATGCCAATTCTTCGTTGATTACCGAAGAAGGGGACAGAGCATGTTCCCAATGCAGTTAATGTCATTTCTTGATTTATTCATTCATTCTATGCTCCCAACACCCCCACCCCCCACACTTCCGGAAATTTTAACTATTAATTTGAAGAAAAAAAAAGGAAATAGTTGCCGCAAAACTGCCGATACGCCTTAGACAGTAGTGCGTATACACTTGTTCTTCTGCATTCGTCATTAAAAGGGTGGTTGGCACGATGTTTTGTAGTTTACGGCTAGGTTGCGACATCTGTGAATTTTGGCCCAACACATGCTGATTTAGCGAAATCCTAATTATGTGTCTTCTAGAACTTGCTTTTTATGGGACTGTGGGTCTATCCTGGTCCCCAGATTAGGCCCAGAATCAACACAGGGAGGTGTCTACTCTTTTTGATTTGTCATGATTGCTGTTTCCATTATCAATGAACACCAACATCCAAACCGAAACGTCTGCTGTTGAATCAACCCCGTTATTTCGGTACTGTCAACCTGCTTTCATAACCTCTAAGCCACAGACGCCGATCATGGAAGCCGAGAAGCGAAATATTGGAAGCTGTAATGACCAAACCCTCTTATCAATATTTGAGCATTTATTCCAGGTGTTCGTCTGAGTGCTGTGCAAGAAATAATGCAATGATAATGATAAAGACGCTGCAGAAAGTGGAGACGTGCGTATCTTCAAAATCAAGAATGTTGATATTATTGACAGCTAAATGATTTATGATATGACTTTCAACCCAAGGAGTGGTCCAGAGAGATGTAAAATCAGCACATCTTGCGTTCATTGGGCTTCTATGTAGGACACTATGAACGTGCGATGCGTTTCGACATAACAGTACACATGGTATACAAACAGATACTCTGTCACCTACAGTGAATGTCGTAAGGTACCTAAACTTGTATCTGTACCACTTCTTCTTCTCTTCCACCTTGTACCTCATCGAAGTGTCGGGGAAGATGTAATGTTCGTTGATGGTCTCTGTCAAGAGCACTATTAAGACTGCTGTTCATTTCTGTAAGGCTTTTCTTAATGCCATCGCTCAATATTTTCCGAGGTATTCCACTCGCTCTATACCCGTTGTAACGTTTTAGTGTGGCTCGCTGTGGCAGATAGTACCAGGGCATTCATGTTAGGTGTCCAAACCACTTCATTTGTTGTTCTTTGATGACCTGTAAGACTGGCTTTATTCCTAGCATTCGTCTTATTTCATGATTTCGTATTCTGATCTGTACCACGCTAGTTGTAAAGACAAGAAACTGATAGTAAAAGTGTCAGATAATTCTACTCGTAGGCCCCTTCTTGTCCGACCTACAGTTAATTTCATGTAGACGCATCTTAACAAACATTGTTACTTGTAATATTATCAGCCTGCATTCACATGCAGACATCAGAATATTTACTTTTATGTTTTGATAGTTCCCACCACTGGCTAAAACCGATTTCTTCGCGCTCTGAAAATAGTGGGTTCGTTCTACGGGTACAGTTTTTAAAAAAGATTTCCGGCGATCATAGCCAGAGTTATGGTGTTTGTGCTTTGAGCGACGATTTCAGGAGGTGGCTTGTGCAACTGTGAAGAGAGACAGAGTCATGTGCGGCCAAACCCGGTGCAATAAAATTGATACTTTTGACTCGACCACTATTGCTTTTGCGGACAACGGTGTTGTTGACAGCAACCACAAGCAGTAAACTCCCGCTGAAAGTCTTGACTGTTTATTCACGTCTAGGCATTGGTCTTTTTTTCCAGGACTTGGGTATGGACCAGTGTTTCCCAAACTTTTCTTGGTCGCGGGGGCTTTTTTTTTTTCTTCCAAATATAATTTATCTACGGCGCCCTAACCTAAGTAAAAGTATGACTATTCGTTATTCGTGTCTTGTTTAGATTAATTATGAAGTTTTTACAATATTTCGCGGCGCCTCTGAAAAGAGGTAGCGGCTCCCCGGGTTGCCAAGTTTGAAAATCACTGGTATAGTCATATCCATTTAACAGAATCGGTTTATTGTATAACATAACCCTTCACCAGTTAGGGGTCCATCAGATGTATCGATGGAAGCAGTAGCACACAACCCGCTCTGTCTTCCGCATGTTGAACAAGTGTATAGTAATTTAGTCCTCTCCGCGTCTTGTTATCCCAGGTTCTTCTATGCCCGCCTCTTCTTCGATTACCACGCTCAAGTTATTTAAAGTATCTTCTTTGCAATTGAATCACGTCTCACCAAGTGTCGGAAGCTAGCTAGCAACGTTTCACCATTGATAGAAGAAGCTCCTGATGTCGCGCAAATCTATTTGTTTTGCTTCTTTAAAATATTAGTTTTTTTTTAATATTTTTTATAAATAGCTAATTCGTCTATAACCTTTATGCTCGAAAATTTGAATCCACCTTTCAATTTCCGCAGTAAGAGTTAAGAAAATGCTTGGTGACTTTGATGGAAACGTCGATTCCATCTACACTGGCGAGTTCATGACGAAAGAAACATTGATCAAAGGGGCTGTACTGTATATTATTTGCAGGATGTCGAAAAGATTGCAAAACTGATGTTTGCAGACTGAATGATTTTCCAAATCGATTTGCTGCCCGTTTTTGGCATCTCAGTGAAACAGATGAGCCGTCCAACGAGGTATAAATCCTATTTAGATGCGAACAATTTTGCTTGGTATAGGAACTTTTTGTTTTGAAATACGACTCTATACCATGCATCGAAATGAGGCACGACTCTGCATGCTTCACCACAGCCCCCCCCCCCCTTTTTTTTTAACCCCTCTCATTAATCAAGGACATGACTGCTTAATAGACTGATGCCAAAAACGTTACTCTCCATGTGGGTTCTGGGTCCCCACTGTAGGAAAAACAGGAATAGACCCACTTCTACCCAGAAGCATATTGTAATAGCTGAATAATTAGGAGCTTCCTCAGAAGTCAGAATGCATCTACCTGAAACCAACAGTGTGCATACAAATGAGTTGGATCTGCAAAACAGATTTGCACGCAACACTCAGGTTCTGAAACAGGACTAGAGTCCAGAAGTGGACAAACATTCAGAACTTTTTGCAGGAGTTTACAGCTAGTTAAACCGAAGAAGAAAAACTATGGAAAATTACCACCACAACAAAGCCGTAATAGCATTGTCTGGAATGACCATAAGATGCCACATTTCCTAAACACCCAGAGGAGAAGGCATAAGCAATGTTGTTTAAAAAGTTTTTTGTACAAGTCAAACATGGTGAGCCATAACCTGTTGTAAGTAGGGGGAAAAAAAACATAAAAAGAAAGAAATAGTAAAAAGCCACAGAATTTCGGACTGCTGAGGTTTTATTAGAAGGGGACTGTCTTAACAAACAAAAACAGCCTCTCCTTCTCCCTTTTCAGCACCATCCTAGTAGGCACTCATCTCTTCTCAGAAAGGTTAACTGAGGTTGAATTTTCATTTATTTTATCTAACTGCTTTTGTGTGTATGTACTTAAGTATTAAGCAATGTTTAAATTATCTTATACATCACCATCATCATATAGCAGGTCCTCTGCAGAATCACGCTATCATCATAGTCTGCCTGAAAAAAAAAAAACTTGGTCTCTGGCCAACTCTCCTGCCTCATGTACTTTCATACAAGGAGTCACTTATATCCTGTGCCCATCTTCGTGTTGGTCGGCCCCTGCCCCTTCTT